CTTCATTGAGGGTACTTCCCTGAGCTGCCACAGCTGTAACATCTGCGTAAATAGACAATCTTGTTTGTTGGTTTTTGCGTTGGTCGTTGGTGTAATTAAACAGTTGATCAACCGCATTTTTAGAGTTTTTATAAAATTTGAGAATCCCTTCATATTTTGACCATCTTTCTAGCGACGACTTTTACTAGATCACATCTAAGTTTTGTTCATTCCTCTAGTGACCCTGTATTTTTGACCAACGATTCCAGATATAAGTGAAAGATATGAAAGATACGAAAGACTTCTGAAGACTTGTGAAACTGGTATGGAAGAAGATTGCCACAGGCAAAAGATCACTCTGACGTCCCAGAATGCGATGGAGAGATAACATCCAAGCAGATCTCCAAATTTGACCCTAGGTTGATGGAAGACCGAACAAATTGGAAAAAAAGTTGTACAGTCAGCCAAGACCCACCCAGGGTTGTAGCGCTACGTGATGATGATGATGATCCCAGATATAAGTATGAGCTCACATTCTCAAACCGGTCAATCTTAGTTAGATGTGGATAATGATTATGTAGTCTATCCACTATTATAATCTTTCTCTTTGGGGAAGAGATAATACTGGGATTTAATAGTATATTTGAGTATATTTGGATAGTGGCAATTTAATAATAAATTTGTGTAACTATCTATTAAACTGAATCATTCTTTGCCGATGTCGAAATCGCGTCGTGAAAGATGTTGTAAGCTACATCGTTGCAGTATAGTGCGATATCGTTCGTCCTATCGGGGAAAACGTTAAAAAAATCCAAAATATGGGTATGAAGTAAATCATTGCATTTATGCTCAATTACAGTTTGTATTTTGGATACTGTTTCTTTATTTTGACGTCCTAAGTTTGTTGGGAATAGTTAGTAAAACTTTTCTAAAACTAGTGTTTTCAGTGTTTTTTCGTATTGTTCCATTTTGGGACATCGTAATATAACTTCTTCGCGGTAATAATGGTACCTCTTGAGAGTGCCGTGGTTTCAGTGTAGGTAAAGTATGACGAAGTTTTGACGAAGGTAAAGTATGACGAAGAATTTGTACTCTGTGAACATGGCCAAATATTATCCCCTGTATGATAAGTTCCCTGTTGACTCCGATTATATTCAGATGAAGGTTGGTCTAAAAGTTTTTGGTGACTGGAGTGGATGTCTGAGCGCTGTTTTGGATCTCAATGGGGCACAAAAAGACTCCTTTGTCTTCAATTACTTGACGTTTCATTGCTGTTTTCTCCTGTGTTGTTACTTTAAAATTACTAAGGTGTATAACTAATATGATGTATGGTGTATAAAATCAAGTTTGGAACACTAAAACAGAAAGAAGACCGCGAATACGTGTTACAGACTATGGTGACTCGTATTTTTTAATTTTTCTACTCAATAAAAATTCATTTTTCAGAGCTAATGGCAAGCAATAACGCTTTCCTTATTAAAATATTTTCGAAAAAAAAATCAAAATGTTCCAAATGATACATTAAAACGTAAAAGAGACCAAAAATTACATCTCGTCTTAAAAGGGCAAGTTTTCGAAGAAGATTCAAATTCTTTCGAGAGTTTAACCCGATAATCTTGTAGGGTGGTTAAATCCTTTATAAAGTTAAGGAGCAATGGGGTAATTTCCACAAGTTGCTCGCCTTTGATGCCACCTACAAAGGAGCCGGTAATTACGAGAAATGTATTACAAATTCACGTGAGCAGAGATTTCAAGGTCGAGTGTTAAACAAAAATATGTCAATGGGCTACACTTTATTTAGTATTGCGCCGGTGTACTATAAATGCAAATTATGTAAGCAAAGCGCCTACAAAGTGGACACAATATTTTATTGAGTGTAATTTAAACAGAAACATATAAATACACATAATATGTTTAACAGTTTGGAATATTGGAATATTTCATCTTTTTATTGATTTATATATGTATAAAAACTCTTCTAAATGGGAAAACAGTATTTTGTTTCAATTCTCAACAATACTAAATAAATCTCAAAACCAGATAAACGATCTGCAAAAAATATTTATTCTCTTGGAGCGAAAAACTTACAATGCACAACTTACATTCAAAAATAAATTAGTATTAAAAAAAACAATTTTTAATAAAACTAATAATTAGTATTTCCTCCATTGGCCTTTATGTATGCCTGTAGGGAATTTGGCATGCTGCCGATTAACTGGTCGAGCTGGGCTTGCGAAATTCTGTCTCATTCTTCACGAGCAGCATCTTTTGGTTCTCGAAGTGTAATAGTTTAGTTCTTCTTGGTGCTTGTTTTCAGAATGTCCCAAGCATGTTTAATAACGTTTATGTCATGGGAATTCGAGGGCCACTGTAATGTAGATATTCCTTCTTCTTCCAGAAAATTTTGTACTACTACTGTTCGATGAAGAGGTGCATTGTCATGCATAAACACGAATTCTTCACCTACTGCCCCTCGGACAGGATTTAAAACTTCCTCGATGTACACAGCATTAGTGACTCTTCTCTCCAGAACCAGCAGTGGCGTCCGTGTACCACTCATAATAACACCCCAAACCATAATACTGCCACCTTCAAATGGGACACGAAGTTGGGCTGTTTCTAGTCGGTCTAGTCGTCCTGGGGCACTCCAAACCAGTGTTCTTCGCGAATCAGATACCAAGCCAATTTCTGACTCATCAGAGAACATCACGTTATTTCAGTTAGGACCATGATGCACCATTTCTCTAGCCCATTGCAACCTTACTATTTTGTGTTGGTAGGTTAGTTTAGGAACATGTAGCGGTCTTCTACTATACAAATTTTCCGCATTGTGTCTGCGTGTTATTGTTTGCTGTGTAATATTAAGTCCTTGAAGCTTAGAAATTTCTCTGGATATACCACTTGTAGATTTTAGAGATTTCTCCGGCGATGCATGCACATCGCTGTTGATATTTCTGGCTCTCTGTATTAAAACTTCCAAACTAAAAAGTGCTTCTCTCGTTCCGAGTCCTGCTCTGAATCCAAATTGAACTTCACTCAGGTGTTCTTCTAATTTGGTGTATAAGAGAATGATAGTAAGGAGTACTTTAAGTATATGGCTCATCAAACTAATTAATATATGTTCTTCACATTTTCTAGCGTTGGCTTTTTTAGGAAGTGGAATGAATATTGATCGTAGCCAATTTTTTGGTAAGTAACCAGTCTCGTAGATGTTAATGAAAAGCTTCGTAAGAGCTGTGATTTGGTGTGACTCTAATAGCTTTAAAATTTCACCATGCACCTCATCAGGTCCTGGTGATTTCCCATCTTTAATCCACTTAATGGCCTTAGTAACTTCTTTGTTTGTTATTTCTGGGCCATAGGGATTTTTTATTTCAGTCGGTATTCGTGCTGCATCTCTGAATAATTCTTAAATATATTCTTTCCATCTTCTTAATTTATCTTCAATAGTAGTCAAAATTTGGCCTTCATTTTTTTTTTCAAAAACCTTTAAAGGTTTTCTCGTATTCTGTACCTCTTTAATTTTTTTGTGCATATGGAAATCGTCATGTTTGCGTTGTATTGTTTCAACTTCCATAAATTTTTCCGTCAGTTATGTTTCTTTTGCTCCATTTATCTCAGTTAGTCTAGTCTTATGCAACTTTTTTATTCGTTGTCATTTATACCTTTTAATTTTCTTTACTCTTCTACCATCTGCAATATTTTATCGGTCCTCCATTCTTGCTTCTTTCTTATTTTTGATTTTAGATATTCGTGCGAAATTGTGGTAATAGATGTCTTCGTTTCATTCCACTGTTCTTCTATGCTTATAGTAGTGCCTACAACGATTTTAGCAAAATTCTTTCCGTTTTTCAAATTTCTGTTTTTAATTTTTTCTGGATGCCATTTTCTATAATAATAAACAATAATACAGCATTTTTTCAAATTCTGCACTAACTTTGTCAAATGTTGTTTTAGTAATAGCGACACGCTTGCTTAATTCTTTCTCGCAATTCCCCAAGTGACGTAGGTTAAGTTCTATAAACAACTGACTTGAGATAACCCCATAGCAAAAAGTCACGTGGCAGTAAGTCTAGTGACCTCGGTGGCCATTCAATAGGGCCTCTCCTTTCAATTTATTTATTCAGATAATTAGTACCCAACCAGTGCCTAACTGGAGCTGCATAGTGAGGAGGTGCTCTATCTTGTTGGAAGTGCAGCAAATCTTTGTCTACCTAGGTTGCCTTGATCGTCTCTTTAGTTCTCTAATTCGTGCACATTTAAAGGTTTGATGGTATTTCTAGCATATCGAGATCAATTTCGCCACTTAAAGTGCGCGGTATGAACAAGGGCCCAATTATAGCATCGCCTTATATTCCTGTCCCAACCTTCAGTTGTTTAAGATATTGAGAATAACCTTGTCTGAATCGATGCGGGTTCACGTCACTCCAGTATCGACAGTTTTGTTTATTTACATTATCATTCAGCATGAAAGTACATTCATCAGTAAGACAAATATTTTTTTAAGAATTTTTTCAGCCATGAGTTCACAAAACTCAATTCGTCGGTCTGGATCATCATCGCCTGGTTTTTGAAAAATTTTTGTTTTGTGCGGATGAAACTTATGTAATTTCCTACTTGACGTGTGACGTGATGTGATACTTGACCTTTTGATGCAGTATGCTCTATTGCAAAATTTCCAAGGACCTCAATTTGGGATAAGGTAAAATGAGAAATATAATGTGATATACAAGAAAGTACTAGATCCAGTAACGGATGTTGTAGATCTGTAAATATTAAAGGGTAATAATAATGAAAAACACACTACCAAAGGCTACAACTCTATATCTTTTGGAAGGCATTTGAAAATATAAGTGAAAGTAACTAATTGTTTTTTCGCTGTGACATCCTCCCACATCAATAAAACGCACAACTATCGATAGCGTAACAAGACAATAGCAATGTCACTATCTCGTGGCGCCGCAATTTTATCCAAACCACTTTCGTTGTTAGTAAAAACACTCTCTCCTGCACAGAGATGCGAGATGATCGCAATCATAGTCGGGGGACATATCCAGCAGACTGCTTCTATCGACAAACGAAGAAATGTCTCCAGTGCTATGGGCACGCCAACCACTACAACGTCGTCCATCGTCCTTCTACTGTTACTGTTCGCACTTCCGACGGTACTGCAGGTCTTGGGGTCAATGTCAACGCTACGACAAGGTAATTAAGATATTTTATATCTCCTGGTGTTATGGTGTTATGTGTGCCAACGACGTCGTGATGATGTAACGAGTGAAGTGAAAAGAAGTGATGTGAGCTTTGACAATGTTATATAAATTATCACAAATATACGGTTTTTACATATTATTTATTATCTTTTGTAGGGGAGTAAAATATTTTATTCTTACAGGTTTTAGTTCTAAAAATACTAGTACTTTTATAACTTAACTACTACTAGATCCGGTTTAAAGTGTTTGATGATGTTTTTGAGCGCAGTCTTCAAATTCTTGTAAAGCTTTTCTCTCTATGATTATTTTTACTTTATTTAGTGGTCTCTTAGCAAAATATCTCGATTATTTGGACGTAGTTAAGCAGAAAACGTCCAACCCAAAAAAAGTGATTGTTGGGAAATTGAGTTTAAAAGATTTTAGTGTGCCCTAGCTAAACTATGCATAATTTATTCGCCTGGCAATGATTTTAAGATAATGATATTCATCTCGTAGGCACCTCGTTTGTAATTTCTTTTAAATGTAAGTTTCAATGAAGTTATTTTGAAAATTTTAGGTTGGACGTTTTTAACAAAAAACAAAAATCCGAAAAAAATTTCGATAAAACATACTTATGTGGGTTGGAATCTTTCAGATAAATAAATAATGTCATATTTTTATAAAAATTTTAATGATCCAAAGAAACAAAATTACAATGATTTTCTTATGTAAATGTAAATTTAAAAAAAGTTTTAATTATTGTGGGTATCTACCTCAAAATCTAGAACTGGAACATTAAATCCATCAACGTCTTCGACTACATTAGCACTTGTAAAATTTTCATAAAACGGTTTAGCGTCTGAAGGAATTAGATGTAAATAGCTTTTAATATCGTTAATTTTATCCTCTGACAGGGGTTTACCATTGGGCCAGAGTTGCATAAGCAGCGCCGAAAAGCTCTCTGTATTTAATCGTCCTCGTCGCTCAATATCCAAACATACACTTTCATCGCCAAAATAACTAGGTTTCATAAAGATGTGGTAAGGATTTTCTTTTGTTGATATAATTTGTTTTGTCTCCAACCAATTTATTTTTTCTTTATTGGTGCCAACTTTTCTGTTTATTGTGGCCTTCTCGAGCTGGTGGGTACTCAAAAACCATTCCTTTTTCATTTGTGCAGCTGTTATTGGAGACTTTTTACGACATGAATTTATTATATTTATATAGTCTAAAGGTGTATATATTCGTTCTTGACGTTTGAGTTGACATTCTATATCCCCAAAATCTTTATCATTTGGTAGAAAACTATGGCCGGAAATCAGGAATTTAAATGTTATAGTTTTTATATTATGGCTGGTTTGAAGAAGACTGGCCATGAGGAGTGTTATTTTAATATTACGGTTCTGGCCTCCACAAGAATCAGACCACAATATAAGATGTTCAACAGTACTTTCTATGTTTTCTAAATATTTTACAATACAGGAACCAACCTCCTGAGCTCCTCTTCCAGCAGTTCCTTCAAGCCATACATAGGAATAACTCTTATTACGTTTGCCTGAAAATACACCGAGATTATACAAGCAAACTTGCCTCTTATAATATATTACATTGGTTGGAATTTTGGGTAAAGGTAGAGTTTTTTGAAGATCGTATGTTAAACACTCTACATTATCCTCATCTTTAGCTCGTTTTAAATCTGCCTTTAATGTTTCTCGTGATTTTTGGGCCAAATCCTGATGAGTGTCGAGTTCAATTTGTAAAAGTTGCTTTTTATGATCATCCGTTTCATTTTCTAGTTTTATTTTAAATGAATCACATACCTGGCATGTGTCCTTCTTGGGAACATTAAATCTCAAATTAAATTTTTCGTAAAAAATCCTCTTATAAATACCAAATTTCACAGGGTTTTGAACTTCAGATTTGTATAGATCATAAATCTTTAATAATGAGAGATGTGCCGGTAAAAATAATGCAGACGTGTTTTCACGACAGTAGTGCGATATGTACTTAGGCAGTTTATTGATCTGGTTGATTATTTCCTGAATTTTATTTTCAGGGACTTTGTTTAAACCACCTTGTTTTCTACCTCTTTGATCAAGAATTGGAGCACGATTGTTTACCTTTCTCAGAGCTGTTGTTACTCTTGACGGAGTTATTCTAAGACTATTGATAAACATTTGCCTACAAATACGCTGATTAAGTAAGGAATATTGTCTGGAATACAGACGTCTTTCAGTGTTTCTTCCATACATTCTTTTTTTCGGCATTTCGTGGATATTATTGGCAATAAAGATAGTTTGGGCATTATAAGACCCAAGACTCCAAAAACGATCAAATTCTTGTTTTCGTGACTCTGTAGAAATCAACTCAGAACATTTCATCGGGCAGTTACAATTGTAGTCATATTGAAATTCTTTAGCAGCTTTCAATTTTCCTTTGTAGTCAATGTAAGATTCATTTTTGTTCCTATTAATCTTTGATGTTGCTCGCGTCATTGCAAATTTCTTTTTTCTACCCTTCTTTGGACGACCTGATGTACTGGCTAAAAATGGATTATCATCACAACTTTCATTGTTATCGGAACTCTCTTCATGTGACGATGGTATAAACATATCAGAGGAACCGCTACTAAAGACATCACTTATTGACATATTCTGTAAGAATAAAAAGGTAGGTATTATTAGATAATATTTTAAATAAAAATTTCAAAAAATTATAGAAAGCGTCTATTTTAATTAAAGAAGTTAACTTTTAATCAATTACCAGGTACCAAAAAATAAAACAAATTCAATTCATTCAAATTAATCTTTTTCATAAAGTTTACTATAGGTACTCATCGAAAAATAATTTTCATATGCTTTACATTATTGTATAATTACTTTAATCAATAATAATTGATGATCATAATAATAGGTATCAATTTAACATTGGTATAATAAGATTAATACATATGTGTTTACAAAATTGTGTGTACCTAAGGAAGTTGTATTTTTTCTTTTAGATTGTAACAATAGGTACATCAAAGTTTAGTTTTCATTAAATAGAAATAATATAGCGAATAGCATTATAAAGCATTTTACTAAACAGTATAGGTACAAAGATTTAATACTTACATCATAATCATCAACAGAATCTATGGTAGAAGCTGATTCAAAACATCCAGTTTTCTCGTTTAAAACCATTTCACGAATACGACTATTGGATGACGATGGTTCGCTGTGACGGTAGAATTCTGTCACATTGGTAGGTATCATCCATATTCTACAATATATTTAAATTATGTAATGATGTATAAAATGCATTTATTTTAAAAATTTAGTAAACAACATAAACTTTTAGAAGCCGTGTCTTATAAACTGATTATTTTTTCGTGATTTTCGGCCAGATTAAAGAAATACCACAAAACTCTATTTTCTTCTATTTTCTTTATTTTTTTTTTAAGATTTAGTAACAAAATAAATTGAAACGTCGTAAAAAAAAAGAGAGTTTTGTGTTATTTCTTCAATCTGGCCGAAAACCACGAAAAAATAATCAGTAAACAACATATAGTTATTTTTTAATAAAAAATTTCCGACTTACCTCAACATTGGTAATATTTGAATCAAATTCCACGCTAGACATTACACTATTTGTTTGGTTTTCCATAAGTTTTGCTAGCTCACACATGTATTTGCTTCTTTTCGACATAATTATTATTAAATAAGTATTTTTAAACCCGAACAGTCAGAAAAATCAGACACAACTGAATAAAAAGAAATGTTTATCAATACATAGGCACATTTACTTAAAACTAAAGGAAAGTGATTACTATGCTTAAGATGAGTACCTATAATAAATTAATTTTTATCGACCAAGTTCCAGGGTTTATACGCACAAGGCACGTTTTAAACATTAATAGGGCACATTCCCGTAATAAAATTTTATTATCGACCGAAATTGAAGATTCAAACTACTTTTAACATATTAATGAAATAGTAAACGTAAAATGATACCAAGTGGTTTGGACGATTTCTGATTATACTCTTATTTTTAACAAGTATACCGAAATTTATAAGTAGAAAACATCCAATTCACTTGGATGTTTTTAACACAAAAAAATGCACAGTAGTTTTGTTATCGCATGGAGCGTTAAAGTGATCCAACCCACTTAGCCTGTTTTAACCACTCTTTTAACACGATTACTTAGATCGACATACATTTTTTAGAAAAAATTCAACCCACTTGGATTTTTTATTATCAATGAAAATCTCAGTTAACCTAGTTTGTGGGTTAGAACTTTGACGATTATTAAAAGAGTATGTAATGTTTTCACTTGGACGGTTTCTGCATATTATAAAGCAAGAAATTATATGCTCGCTGGTGTAAAGAACTCATTTTTAACAATTTGTGGGTTGGACGTTTTCTGCTTAACTACGTCCATTTAGTATATACCTAGTATGTTTTCCTAGTATTTTTTAAACAATTATAAGACTATAAACTTATCTATTTTATTGTAGATTATGCATTTCTTTGTTTTATTGTTTTCTACTATTTCAAGTTATTTTTAATTTATTTCTTTTATTTGTCCTTTCTAATCTCCTGGATTTTGTTTATCGCAGTTTTTTATCATTGCCAGAGTTCGAAGTTGACATAGTTTGCCAAAGTATAAAAAATGAATCGAAATGAAATGAATTGAATCCATTTTAAATTTTTATATTTTATAAAACAAATTAAATATTTAAAAATTAAATTTATTACACAAATTAAATATTTAAAATATAATTTAGGATATTTTCGATTACCCTTTTTAAAGATGGACACTTGGTGAGCGGTTTTCCATTCAGATGGTACTTTAATTTGTTGGCAGCATAGATTCATTAGAATAGTTATTCGTTCTTTTAGGAGTGGACCTCTTGCTTTAAGTAACTCTACAGCTATATTGCCAGGTCCTGGAGATCGTCCGTTTTTCATTTTAATTAATGCAGTACGGACCTCGTTGTTACTAGTAGTAATGTTACTATTTGTTTGTCTCTC